TGGCTTGCTTAGAGCTTTACAGGAAAGCATTTGGTCAAGTGTTTATACTTTCACTAATATTTTAAGCTGGATGAACTGTTCTCAGCAGACTTGTCTTGATGGGGATAAACAAGGATTACTTTTTCTATTATATCCTCCTTCATGTAATATATACATTTAAAAATGCTGTAACATTGGCATTAATTCCTTTTGCTGCAATTCATATAGTAGATCAAATGCTTATGAACAGAATGTCTCACTTGTATACTCTTTAGCTGTGTTTTCTCCAGAACTGTTTTCAAGGGATTGTTTCAAGCAGTGATCTGATAAGGAAATAAATATCTAGATAACTGTTAAATTCATTTTGATTTGGGGATTCCAAAGAAATGGGTGTTAAGCAGTGATGTCCATAATCTCCCTTGTACTATATCTGCAGAAATGCATCTTAAAATGAAGATTTATGAATATCTAGAGAGGAAACAATTTTCAAGCAAAAACCTGATTAATTTTTTCTGTTTCTATTGGGATTGATTTTTTCTGTTAAAATATATTTTAAATTGGAGGGTTTGTTGTACAGCACTTCAAGGTAATCTGGAGAAGGGAAACAAATGCATGCTTTCAGTATAGTTAACCAATATTTGTGGGCTAGTAGACGCCATGGCCAAGGTATAGAATCCTACATCTGATAAATTTGGGAAGCTATTGCACTTCATGGTGTATCTTTACCCACGAAGTAAACCAGAGGTATAGATATAGGAAGATGTGTTTTCAATTATCAGGGGTTTTTGGAAATAACACCTCTTAAATCTTGCATCCTTTTGCTCAAACGAATGTATATCTGGTGCTACTTTGTAATGATATAAGACTACAGAATGTCTCATTTATCACAACTGGAGTGTTATTTGACTTGAACTGTAGTTGGCATAACAATTTTTCCCATCTTCAATTGTTTCCTTTCAGGTCTGTTAATCTGAATTTTGATACTGTTTTTACAAAGGTGCCTTAAATGCTTTGCTGTAACTTTGAGGTACCAGATTTGGCCTGTCCTTCAGAGCTGGTCTAGAAGCAACTTTGAGTTGGGGACTTCGTCTTCTGTTTTATATACCCTCATCCATAAGATCCTGATTCTTACCTAAGACATCAGAAGTTGTCTTAATGTATAGACAATCCTTGATTTAACATAGATGATTCATGCAGTTTAGAATAACATTCATGGCTGGCTCTTCAGAGTTCAGCTGTCATGTGGAACTGAATACAGCAATAGCTTGCAGACCAGCTTGTGCTGGAAAGCAGTGTGACTGCTTTAATAAAATGTGAAGCTGAAGCTGCTGAATTTGAGGATGATTTGGGGTATTTATGGCAGTTTGGATATGATTGTGCTGTACTAGGGAGAAGGGTGAGTGAAGAGGGGGGTTTGGCATGTCTGATTCTGAGCCAGAACTAGTGAATGACTGATTTGACTTGTACGGAGCTGCTTAATGTCTTTTTGTTACTACCAGTGCCTCTAATTAGGATACTTTATGTTCAGTACCAGACCTGAACTTGGTTTTTGGTTTTGCGCTCTTGGGCAAATGAACTCTAGGAATGAGGTGTGTGTAAGAGCTATCTTGGATCTGCCAGGCTTATTTGGTTTTGGTTTGCCAGCAGATAGGCTGTATTTAAGTTTGTAATGAAAACTTGTGTCTTACTGTGGCAGTTTTGTACCTTTAGGTTTGAGTCCTGCTACTCCTTGATTACTGGGGATAAAGTGTATAATTAATGATAGTAGCTTCATGGTTGATATCTTTTTGAGATTTCAGAGATAAATGCTCAAAGTAAACTTGCTGATCAGGTGTTTCCAATTTGATGCAAAAGGGAAATAAACCAATAGTTCAAACAAGATCAATACCTTTGAAAGTAAATAATATTTTTACTACTGAAAGGATTCATTTGATATCATAAGTTTTATTCATGGAATAATCAACAGAAATGTTCCAAAGGTTTTTAGCTTTGTTACAGTGGAGCAAAAAGGGTTTGGGACTGCATTGTAAGGCATTGTAACCTTCACTGTTTGTCTTCAAGATAGATCTAGAAGTATGGGCTTTCAAATTAGCAGGATTTCAGACTTGTAACACAGGTTTCTCATGCTTCAGACTTGCCAAATCTAATATTTGGAGCCTCAGTGCACAGGAAAGAATAGTTCAGTGGATCTCAGGATACCGCTAATACATTTTCATGTCATTAAATGTGTTGTCTAGAACATGTCATATGTCCAGCTACTTGTGTAGCTACCATGATTTCTGGCTTCAATGCTAGAGATCTTTTGGTGGTATTAAAGTTTTGTAGGTCAAGTTTTAGATATACAGAACATATTATACTATTTGGCTTGAAAATAAACAATACAGCTGGAATAAACAGTTGTGCTTTGGAACAGCCAAGTCCTCTCTGAGCTCTGAAGCCTAGTTACTTTGACTAATGCAAAGTGGATTTCACTTTTGTTGCAGGTATGCACTTCAGTTTGTTATGATTTGTAGTTTGCATTTTAATTCAGGTAGCTGTTTGTTCCAGTTAGGAAATGATACTCAGAACTATGCATTGTGTAGTTAAATGCTTTCATACTCCTAAATTGCAGTCAAAAATTTCATCTGAATGTTTTAACTAAGATTACTGCTAGAAATTTAGACTATATCAGACTGCGAGTATTCAACATTCTGAAATTTCAGCATACTTCACTGTAAATGAAAAATCTCTATTTTAAATGTATGCAGTGTTTATTTTTGTTCCTAATAACTTACAAGGCTATTTTAAAGTAAACATAAGTAGTGTTAAATAATGCTTGAAAAATTGATGTAGTATTCCACTACATGAAAGCTTTCATTTGAGCTTAACTCTGAACTCCCTGTTCATAAGTAATGATCCTTTATTTCAGTATACTGACAAGGGATTATTGACTTCTGGATGTTGAGACTTGTTATGAATTGTTTGAGATTGCTTTCCTTGCAGTTGTACATTCAGTAATAATAAAATCAGAAGTCTGAGTTAGAAGAGACCTCTAGAGACCATCTCTTTCAACCTCCTGTTGAAATCATGGCTGTAAATTAGATTACACAGGGCCCCATCAGTGGCCCAAATTGCTGAATATTCTCAGCAAAGGAGACTTCTACTGTTTTCCTGGGCAACCTATTTCTGATGAATGTTTTCTTTGACTGTCTTAGGACCTAAAAGAGGAAAAATGGAATATATCTAATAAAAACCTTAAATTGCCTGAGGATTTCTGGACATTTGGCCTGATAATTTCAGAGAAGACTAGTTCATATAGGGCCTTAAAATTAATAGCTTCTGTAGACTGTAGTTATCCGTAAGCAATTGTATCTTGGTTCTAACTCAGGTTTTCATTGGGAATTCAGCTTGCAAGGACTAAGGAGAATAAAATTATATTTTTGTATTTAGGCTTGTAATGTTTGCATTTATTTTTGTCTAAAGCTGAAGTAGATGCACTGGAACTGTAGGTTTCCTGCATTGCAGGGTGACTGTAGCTGGGCCTTGTTTCCGTCAGCACTTCCTGCATAGCAATGAAGGGTTTTGTTTGAGCTGCTACTACCCTGTTTTCAAATTCCTCCAGGGAGATCAAAGCAGCCCACCTTGGCCCCTTAATGACAGTAAAAGGAACAGTCGAAGGACTTACAAACTGTTTCATAAACTTCATAAAGCCTCCTTCACTGACCTTAGTGTCTGCAGGGCTGTTTCTCTCAATTTTTTCACTCCTCCCTCACAGCATTATCACAGAAATTTTTACCCTTAAGTATTTGATCAGAGGTGCTACCAGTGTTGCTGATGGCCTCAGCTTTGGCCAACAGTGGGCCTCTTTTGGAGCTGGCTCTGTCTGACATGGGGGCAACTCCACCCCTGTGTCCCCCTGCTACCAAAACCTTGCCATGTAAATCCAATACAGGAATAAATTGTTACTTCCTGAAAGTATTTGCAACATTCCATACAAACTTTGAAGTGTAGCTTATATTTATCAGCTCTTTTTATGAATTTTGTTCTCAGCTTAAATACCTGTCTGCATTCTTTAAGTGAATCCTCATGTCTTTTCTGTAGGTGTCCTTCAAATCTCATATGCCTTCCAAACACAATGTGGTGATATGAGTGGGCTGCTGAATGTACACTGCTTTTCTCCCAGTATGTGTGGCTGGAAGTATGTGTCCAACAAAGCAGTGCTCATGAGAACTTCCATGCATCCTGGCTCCAAGTAAATTTTGTGTCCTTGAAATAACAGGCAGATTCTCCTTTTTGTTTTCCTTTTATGACTGTTCTTATACATGTTTTCTTTAGCCTACTTTCCCTCTGAAGCACTAGCTGTATGTTTTGGTGTTGTCTACAAATGGAAATGGTTAGGTTTTCCTTGTCTTCCTTTTTTTTGTGGCTCACCACTTCTTCATCATCTCAATGGTGTAATGCTATGGTTATGAATCCCAACTGGCTTTGAACTTCAGTGATAATGGGGATTGAGTGGCAGTTGAGAAGATCTTGAGTGATTCTGGTTTGGGATGGGATTTATATGCTTAAGATCTCTGGATTTAATTCCCTGTTTGTTTCTGTGCTTTAGTGTAGGATATATTATATGGGTGGTTGTGTTACTTGATAAATCTTCAAGGGAGGATAAGACTAAGATATTTTTAAGAGCTTTGGTTGGTGTTGTATCTGTGAGATTGCTGCCAGCTTTGTTTTTATGGTTATGTAGCTGGTAACAATTGTTGACAAATGGAATTGCAGTTTGAGCACATCTGTTCTCAGAGTTGAATGGGATAAATGTAAAGTTCTTTATACTACTACAGTTCAATACGTCTGTTTCTGTTGGCACCTGGTGGAGACACTGACATGCCGTTAACTGTCCTACAGTTGTGCTTAATGACTGTGTAATTTCTGATCTAATACTTGTTTTCTGATCAACTTTTTGTTTAGGTGCAAAATACTCCATTTTGCTTGTTCATTTATGCTTAGAAGTTCAATGAGCTTAATGGTTTTCTGTTTTCTTACAGTTCAACTTTGTGGGAAAACTTTTGGGTCCACGTGGCAATTCTCTAAAGCGCTTACAGGAAGAAACACTGACAAAAATGTCTATTTTGGGAAAAGGTTCTATGAGGGACAAGACAAAGGTAAGACCCGAGTATGTTAGTGGAGTGTTTGATACCTGAATTTTGTAACTTTCCTAAAGTTTTTGGGGAGGTGAACAAACCTCATGGCAAATTGGAGCAAATAAAAAGCTTAAGTTATCCTTGTATTGGTTAGATGCAGATGGAGCCTATTTTGTCTAAGGAGTCTGTTCTCACTGTTTTCAGGCTAACAGGAGTTGTACTTAAGCCCCCACCAAACTATGGTCCTTGGGGGTGTAAGTGGAGCATTACCAGTGATGTATTCTAGATTGATCTTGTGTGGCTTGTAATGAGTAATATCCAAGTGACCATGACAGCATTCTCACTTTTGAAGGAACCTGACTTCTAGATAGATCAAAACAAACATTTTCACATAAAATAACACTTAAATTAAACATTTCTAGACAAAGGAAAAAACAGCTGTTGAAGTAAAATACAACCAGAAAAAATTCCATAGCTCTGAGGATGTCTTATACAGCTTAAGCAGTTGAGAAACTGCAATTGTTTCTATGGGAACTATTTGGTTATAGTGGATTTATCCATTACAAGAGCCAAAGTAGACAGCAGAAGAAACCTTTAGCTTGATAAGTGTTTGCGCTAATCAGTTTCACTCTTTACTAAATGAAATCTCTGCCTAAATTTGTAGTGGACAAGTGTATGTCAGTGAGGAGATGTCACCTGTCTGGTAAGCTGCATTTTTTAATTGGAGAATTCCTAATGATACTGTTGTGGCTTACCCTAGCTGGCAGCTAAGCACCACACAGCCCCCCTATTTCCCCCCCAGCAGGACAAGGAGAGAATCAGAAGAGTGAAAGTGATAACTTGTGGGTTAAGGTAAAGCCAAAGCTGTGCATATAAGCAAAGCAAGACAAGGAATTCGTTCACCGCTTCCCATGGGCAGGCAGGTGTTCAGCCATCTCCAGGAAAGCAGGGCTCCATCATGCCTAATGGTGACTTGGGAAGACAAATGCCATCACTCAAACACTGCTGCTCTGCCCTTCCCCACTCTTCCCCAAACCCCTTGTGCTGAGCATGATGTCGTATGGTATGGAATATCCCTTTGGTCAGTTGGGGTCAGCTGTCCTGGCTGTGTCCGCTCCCAACTCCTTGTGTACCCCCAGCCTACTCACTGGTGGGGTGAGGAGCAGAAAAGGCCTTGGCTCTGTGTAAGCACTGCTCAGTAATAACAAAAACATCTCTATGTAATGAAAACATCCCTGGATTACCAACACTGTTTCCAGCACAGATCCAAAACACAGCCCCATACTAGCTACTATGAAGAAAATTAACACTCAGCTGAAACCAGGGCAGGTACAAATTAAAACACTGACTGTATTTCTTGCCTGTCGCATACCATGCTTTATAGGCCTCCAGTGAAATCTTTCTGTGATTATGTAATCTGAAACTTTAAAAAAATAGTGTGTGCTGTAAAGACTGATAATGACATGCATATGGAAGAGTGGCTTACAGGGCTGGCTACTGAATTTCCTAAACTATATATTTTTCAGCATGCTTCTCTATCAGCAAAATGTAAATGTCATGTGATTTATAGAGTATTTATCAAGAACTTGATTAGAGCCCATAAATTTGTTCTCTGCAACTTGAGATAACACTTCCTTTTAATTCTTTCTTGAAAATATTTTTTATGTAAATATAACTTACACTTATACAAGTACATTGTCCTATAATAAAGGCTTGAAGATGAGAGGGACTTTTGAATGGGAGCTGTTAATGTAATACATAATAAAGATAATGCACCTTAAGATTTAAGTGTTAAACAATTAGTCATGAAAAACTACATTGCTAATAACTTTAAGAAGAAATATGACAGTTCCATCAGGAAAAAACCAAGGACATAAACTCAACTTGCTCTAAGCCAGTATGACAGTCTCTGAATTGTTCTAAATAACACTCTGAACTTTATCAGTTATTGTGGAATGTGTCAAACTGACATTCTTCTGTTACTGTATTACATGTTTCTATATCAAATTATGATGTGTCATGGAGTAGGAAGGCTCCTGAGTTTTTCTAATAGCTCTGCAGTATAAAAAAGTATGTTTTATTAAAACCAGAAGCTCAAGGTAAAAACTTCAGATCCTAACCTGAGTCTCAGAATCCTGGGAAAGAG